CTTGCCCAAGTTCGTAGAACTGAGAAAGTGATGGAGCAGAGATGTGGACCCCCATCTCTCTGACTCACAGTCTGTGCTTTCTACCCCAGCAGTGTATCCCAAAGTTCAACAGAAGCTGTTGGTTTGTGTCCTTTGAGCAGTTGATGTTCCAGCACCAGGCCTGGGGACTTTCTGTCAGCCCTTCATGGGGAAGGTCAGAAGTGCCAGTGTTAATTTCCTCAGGAGCAGCCCTCGGCCAATGAGAGGTGAGAGATGGAGAATAAATACCCCTGCTCCCTCGCCCCTTGGGTGAGATATCTCTGAAGTGTCGCTCCTACACTGTCTCCCAGAGGTCCTTCGTGGGATTGAGACCTGGCCAGCCTCAGTGGCAACCTGTTTAAAAACACACCTTTCTCAACATCCTTCCCTTTCCTGTCTTGCTTCCTCATTCCCCGACTGGTGCTGCTTTCTGGGTTCTTCTTATAAACAAACTACTTGTGCTGATTCCTGTCGCAGGTTCTGTCTCCGTGGAAACCCAACACAAGATAATAAAGTATGGTTTGTCAGACAACCCACAGGGAGAAAATCTTCACAACCTATACATCCAATAAAGGACAAATATACAGAATCTACAAGGAACTCAAACAAATTAGAAACAACAACAACAAGAAGGCCAGGCGTGGTGGCTCACGCCTGTAAACCCAGCACTTTGGGAGGCCGGTGGGCAGATCAGGTCAGGAGATCAAGATCATCCTGGCTAATACGGTGAAATCCCATCTCTACTAAAAATACAAACACTTAGCTGGGCGAGGTGGCGGGCGCCTATAGTCTCAGCTACTCAGGAGGCTGAGGCAGGAGAATGGCGTGAACCTGGGAGGCAGAGCTTGCAGTGAGCCGAGATCATGTCACTGCACTCCAGCCTGGGTGACAGAGCAAGACTCTGTCTCAAAAAAAAAAAAAATTCCTGTCAAAAAGTGGGCTAAGAACATGAATAGACAATTCTTAAAAGAAGATATACAAATGGCTAACAGACATATGAAAAAATGCTCAACATCACTAATGATCAGGGAAATGCAAATTAAGGTGGTATCACAATGCAATACCACCTTACTCCTGCAAGAATGGTCATAATCAAAAAATCAAAAAATAATAGATGTTGTTATGGATGCAGTGAAAAGGGAACACTTCTACACTGCTGTTGGGAATGTAAACTAGTGCAACCACTATGGAAAACAGTGTGGAGAGTCCTTAAAGAACTAAAAGTAGAACTACCATTTGATCCAGCAATCCTGCTACTGGGTATCTACCCAGAGGAAAAGAAGTCCTTCAACAGAAAAGATTCTTGCACATGCATGTTTATGGCGGCACAATTCGCAATTACAAAAATATGGAACCAGTCCAAATCTCCATCAATCAACAAGTGGATAAAGAAACTGTGGTGTATGTGTATATGTGTATATATGTATATGTATATGTATATGTATATGTGTATGTGTATGTGTATATATATATGAATATGATGGAATACTACTCATTCAGAAGGAATGAATTAATAGCATTTGCAGCAATGGGATTGGAGACTACTCTTGTGAGTGAAGTAACTCAGGAATGGAAAACCAAACGTCATACATTCTCACTCATAAGTGGGAGCTAAGCTGTGAGGATGCAAAGGCATAGGAATGATAGGATGGACTTTGGTGACTCTGGGGGAAAGGGTGGGAAGGGGGTGAGGGATAAAAGGTTACAAATTGGATTCAGTGTATACTGCTCAGGTGATGGATACACCAAAATCTCACAAACTCACCACTAAAGAACTTACTAATGTAACCAAACACCACCTGTTCCCCAAAAACCTATGGAAATAAAAACAAAACAAAACAAAACAAAGTATGGTTTGCACACCCCCGAGACATGTAAATTGACTTCAGGTGGTACTGGGAACACTTAAAAACTGACTGCTTAAATGTGAATTCAAAGGAGTCTTTGGGAAATAATAGTATGGACATGGCAACAATTGTGAAGGTGGTGTGAAAATAACACCTGAAAAATGCTGCATCGTACAATTCCAGATGAGGCGTCTCCCCTTGGTCCTGGCCAGAACGTATGCATATAGTTTATTTTCTTTTTCTATGTATTATTTTTTGAGACAGGGTCTCACTCTGTTGCCCAGGCTGGAGTGCAGTGGCACGATCTCGACTCATTGCGACCCCTGCCTCCCAGGCCCAAGTGATCCTCCCCCTCAGCCCCTAAGTAGCTGGGAATACAGGTGCCTGCCACCATGCCCCCATAATTATTGCATTTTTTATGAAGATGGGTTTTGCCTTGTTGCTCAGGCTGGTCTCAAACTCCTGGGCTCAAGGGATCCTCCGGCCTCAGCCTCCCAAAGTATTTTGATTACAGGTGTGAGCCACCACTCCTGGCAGTTTCTTTCTTTTTTTTTGAGACGGAGTCTCGCTGTGCCGTATGGTGGCAGGATCTCAGCTCACTGCAAGCTCCGCCTCCCGGGTTTACAACATTCTCCTGCCTCAGCCTCCCGAGTAGCTGGGACTACAGGCGCCCGCCACCTCGCCCGGCTAGTTTTTGTATTTTTAGTAGAGACGGGGTTTCACTGTGTTAGCCAGGATGGTCTCGATCTGTTGACCTCGTGATCCGCCTGTCTTGGCCTCCCACAGTGCTGGGATTACAGGCTTGAGCCACCGGGCCTTGCCTATTTTCTTTTTAACTAGAGATAAGGTCTTGCTCCTTCACCCAGCCTGCAGAGCAGTGGCATGATCATAGCTCACTGCAACCTCTAACTCCTGGGCTCTAGTGATCCTCCCGCCTCAGCCCCCCATAGACTACAGGCATGTGTCACCTGGCTAATTTTTAAATTTTTTTGTAGAGACAGGGTCTTGCGATGTTGCTCAAGTTGGTCTTGAACTCCTGCCCTCAAGCAATCCTCCCACCTCAGCCTTTTGAAGTGCTGGGATTACAGGTATGCACCATTGTGCCTAGCCTATAGTTTCATCTTTTATCCCAGCATCAGCTTGGCTGTGCTTCCCTTTTTTGTCAGGACTGCTAGGAAGCTCAGAGACAAATCTGCTTAGTTTGCATTTTCAATCCTGAAGAAGTCCACTTCTGACATACGCTTTCTCATCTTCCTGAGTTTATATTTAACTGGTGTATGTCATGAGTTTATATTTAACTGGGGTATGGGCAATCACCTCACTTCTCGAACCCTCAGGGTCCTCACCTATACATGTGGATGATGGGGGCCTATTTCCTAATGAGGATAAAATGCAATGAATCCACATAGAGCGTCAAGCACAGACCCGGCATGTTGTAAATGATCAGTGTTAATAGTCATGATTGTCATCCTTATTAAAGGAATTTTCATTTCAATGAAGCAAGAGGAGCAAACTTGGACAAGTCTGTATCCCCACAAGGTCAGCTGCAGTCCTGAGTCTAGTACCGAGGTATGAATATCAGAAATGGAAAGATCACAGTTGCTAAGCTAGGCTGACGCTCTGTGAGGGCAAGGAGCCCTCTTGTCTGTTCAGCCTTCTGTCTGTCATGTTCACCACTAAATTCTTTTTTTTTTTTTTTCTGAGACCGAGTTTCACTCTTGTTGCCCAGGCTGGAGTACAATGGCGCGATCTTGGCTCACACAACCTCCGCCTCCTGGGTTCAAGCGATTCTCCCACCTCAGCCTCCCAAGTAGCTGGGATTGCAGGCGTGTGCCACCACGCCCTCCTAATTTTATATTTTTAGTAGAGATGGGGTTTCTCCATGTTGCCCAGTCTGGTCTTGAACTCCCGACCGCAGATGATCCACCTGCCTCAGCCTCCCAAAGTGCTGGGATTACAGGTGTGAGCCACAGCACCCGACCAACAATTCTTAAGACCTAATACCATGCGTAGCACGTAGTCAGTATCGTTGAATGAATGAAATGGGCCAAGGTATGTAGTGCTGTTTGTGGGTGTCATGCAGCCAGGCTGCCACTGGGCCCCTGAAGTCCTCCTTGCTGTGGGTTTCTGGGCACACAGACACTCCTCTTTTTTTTTTTTTTTTGAGATGGAGTCTCGCTCTGTCGCCCAGGCTGGAGTGCAGTGGCCGGATCTCAGCTCACTGCAAGCTCTGCCTCCCGGGTTT